GGGATTATAGGCGCTGCCACCACACCCAGCTAATTTCTGTATTTTTAGTAGATGGGTTTTCACCATGTTGGTCAGACTGGTCTCAAACTCCGGACCTCAGGTGATCTACCCGCCTTGGCCTCCTAAAGTGCTGGAATTACAGGTGTGAGCCACCACGCCTGGCCAGCAACTTGCTTTCTAATGTGGGGAAAGAAAGTCATATGACTAGTCCAGACGCAGTGTGGGACGAGGACTAAACAAGGACGCATAGTTTATTAGGGGCCACCAATGTGGCTGTCCACCCACATGAAGCGACAGGCCTTCTGAAGCTGTAGACACAGCATTCCGGCCTTTAAGACTACAGAATAGCTGAGGTTTGAAATCTTTCTGCCTGATTTGGCTACTTCTACACTGGACACATTCCTGCTTGAGAATCTTCTATAACTCCTTTTGTCTTTTTTAGAGAATGGGGTCTCACTGTGGTCCCTAACTTGTTTCTAACTCCTGGGCTCAAGCTGTTCTCCTGCCTCTGCCTTTCTACCTACTGGGATTACAGGCATGAGCCACAGCACCTGGCGTATAATTTTTTTTTACCTTTTCAAGCCTCTTTTGAAAAAAATATCCTCACTTCTGTTTTGTTCTGAGAGGTCTTCTGCCCCCATGCGCTCTGTATAAACTGCAGTTTTTGAAGTGGTTAGATTCAGTGACAATTTTATTGCTGTTTTTCCCTCTTTATGTTACTTCCTGAAGATATTGTCGTGTAGTAAGGGACACACTAGGTGTCTTTCCCCTCTTCTCCCTAAGGGTTTATTATTTCTTCCAGTTATGATCCAGATGACTAAGCTACCCTTCCTTCATTATGTATTAATTGAGGGCCTACTATATTGCCTTACCTGGGTAGCAGAGGAAATGAGCTTTTGTTTCGTGAAGATTTATATTAGAGTATGGGAAGTTGGAGAATACGGAAGTAAACAACAAGAACAAAATAATTTCAGTTAGTGATAAATGCTGGGGAGAAAATAAAACAGGATAAAGTGATAGGGAATGCACAGGGTGTGGAGGTGGGGAGTTCCTTTAGCTTGCGTAGCACATAAGGCCTTTCTAAGGAAAGACCCTTGAGCTGAGACTTGAGTAAGAAGCCATCCATCCTGACAGACAGGGTGACCAACTATCCCAGTTTGCTTGAGACTGAGGGATTGCTGAGGACATGGAATTTTTGGTGCTAAAACCTGCACAGTTCCAAGCAAACTGCAGTGGATGGGTAGTCCAAGAAGAGGGAATAGCAGGTACCAAGGCCCAGCATTAGGAGGAAGCATGGTATTTTGGAGGTCTAACAGAAGGCCAGTGTGGCTAAAAAGGTAGTGAGAGAGGGTTGAGTTGAGGCAGATGACGCTGAGGAGGTCAGCAGACTTTGGCCCTTGTGAGGCCCTGTCAGTAATTCGGATTTTATCCTAAGTGTGTTGGAAAGCCACTGCAGCGCTTTAAATGGGGGAAGACTCGGTTTTACTTTTTTTTTTTTTTTTGGTGGGGTGGGGTGGGATAGGATCTCCCTCTGTTGCCCAGGCTGGAGTGCAGTGGTGCAGTCATGGCTCACTGCAGCCTTGACTTCCTGGGCTCAAGTGATCCTCCTGCCTCAGCCTCCTTTGTAGCAGGGACTACAGGCGTGTGCCACTAAACTTGGATAATTGTGTGTGTGTGTGTGTGTGTGTGTGTGTGTGTGTGTGTGTGTAGAGACACGCTGGTCTCAAGCTATGTTGCCCAGGCTGGTCTCGAACTCCTGGGCTCAAGTGATCTTCCCTTCTTGGCCTCCCAAAGTTCTGGGATTACAGGTGTGAGCCACTGTGCCTGGCTTTATTTACATTTTTAAATGATCACTGGCTATGCAGAGAGTAAACCACGTGCCTATGGACGTGGGAAGACAGGTTGGGAGGCTGGTCCAGTCATTTGTCTTGAGATGATGTTGACTTGGACCAGAAAGTCCAAGTTACCAGGTTTTATTGCCAGGTTTTATTTATTGCTTGCCAGAAAGGAAGCCCCTTGTTATGACAAACTCTGGGCTGCTTCTCACTCCTCCCAGCTCTTCCTCTCTTTCCTAACGTAGCAGCTTCTTACCCTGAAGAGCATCTTTGCTGAAGTAGGGATTCCCAGAAGATTTACCATTTTGCAGCAAACTTCAGCCATATTTGGGTCACACAGGTGCTTTATCAGTTTTTCTTTGCAGTATTTTCAAAGTACTCAAATACAATAATAGAGTGTTTTGCTTGTCTTTTTTTTTCTTTTAATTTTTTATTGTTTGTTTTGTTTGTCTTTAAGGTATCCATTGATTTTCTCATAGGGCCAGATTGGGTAATGCTTTTGAATGCCAACCTTAAAGTGATTGATTTTTATCTTGGATGTTTTTGAAGGGATATATTTAGAATTGTGCCACATAAATAGAGAGCTATGTTTGCTAAAGGTTAATCTAGCAGGAGGGTTGGGGTAAGACAGTGAAGTAAGAGATGGACATGTTGAATTTTAGGTGACAGGAGGCTGTTCAAGTAGAAATGGTGGGGAGGGTGAGGGGCAGTTAGAAAAGCGGAACTAGATCTTAGTAGCAAGGATGGGTCTGTAAATAGAAATGTGGGAGTTGCCATAGAGAGGTGGAGTTGGATTTAGGGGAGGGCCCTGATCTGTTTATTCAGCAAACCATCGAGTATTCATTGAATGCCTCCTAAGTGCTGGGGACGTTATGGTGAACAAGGCAGTCAGGATCCCTGTTCTCAGGGAGTTGGCATTCAGTTAGGGTGTGGGGAGGTAGCAGGGCAAACAAATGACTTCATGAATAAAATAATTTCAGAGAGTAGTAAGTGCTGTGCAGATAATAAAACAGGATGATGTGCTCTGGCTTGGGGGTGCTGGGGAAGATTCTTTTTTAGATTGGCAACCAGGGAAGGCCTCTCTGAATAGGTGACATTTAATGGAGACCTGAATGATAGGAAAGAGCCCGCCTCTGGAAGGTCTAGGGTTGGAGCATTCCAGGTGGAGATCTTGAACACCAGGGCCTGGGTCTAATCTTGGGCAAGGTCCATTTAAGCAAGTGAAGATGTTGACTAGCAAAGAGAGAGATAGGAAGGAGGGCAGGGACTGTGCTGGTGTCACTCACCAACACAGTGAGCACTTTATGGAGCAGTAAGTGTTCGTGTTAAAAAGAAACAAACCAGGCCAGGCATGGTGGTTCACCATGGTGAGCTCAGAGTGCTGTAATCCCAGCACTTTGAGAGGCTGAGGCAGGCAGATTGCTTGAGCCCAGGAGTTCAAGACTAGCCTGGGCAACATGGCAAAACGCCATCTCTAAAAAAAGTGTTAATACGAAAATTAGCCAAGTGTGATAACACATGCCTGTGGTCCCAGCTACTTGGGAGGCTGAGGTGGGAGGATCACCTGAGCCTGGGGAGGTTGAGGCTTCAGTGAGCTATGATAACACCACTATACTCTAGCCTGAATGACAGAGCAAGACTCTGTCTCAAGAAAACAAACAAACCAGGATTGTGTTCTGCTACCAAGACTGAGAAATCAGAATCCCAAGAAAGATGGCAGTGACTGCACAACCTGCAAAGAAGCCAAGGAAAATGTCAATGTTTTTGGTTACAGGTTACTGGTGGATCATTGAGATTGCCCACTCATTAGAGGGTGTTGAATTCAGAGACCACCAACTGCAAAGGGTTAAAAACCATGGGATAGAGAAATAGAAACAGCATTTTTGGACCCTGTAACAAATCTTTTCCTTTATCATTTGTGAATATGTTGTAAAAGACTTCTCCACTATGTACACCCACCTTTGAGAATTCTTCCTGACCGTGCTCCTGAGTTTACTCACTTTCTCTTGCCCCTTCTGTGTTACCAACCTTTCCCTGTGGACTCCTCTTTTGCTTTCCCTTTGCTACTGAAGACTTGTCGCTTTGTACTCCCATTTCCTCTTATCTCCACACCCCACAGCTGCAGGCCAGTTCTGCCTGTCTTTGCTGGTGGGGACCCGGTTCTTGGATCTAGAAAGGGGCCATGAGAGATTTGACAAAAGGGATGATATCTTAATGGGCCTTTTGTTTAAGACCTGTGAATATCTGAAAACAAAGAGAAGGAGGTCAATAGAGAAGGAGACACACATGATGAAGAGGCAGAGGGGAGCACAGGACTTGAGGCAGAAGTGGAGGGCTTCATCTTAAATAATATGAGGTGAAATCCTTCTTCCTCTGAATTAAGAGGAAAGAAATAATATATGAGGCTGGGTCCCAAGAGTCTTGAGTTGAAGAGACATGAGTGGGAGAAGCTTATGGTAAGTTGTCTCGATCTTTTTAGCAATACTGAAAGCCAGGTGGGACAAAAGAAAAAAGAAAGCCAGCAAGCCAGGTGGTCTGCTGAAAGTCAAGCTCAAAATTGGTGAAGGAATTTTGGAGTCACCACTCCAAAGAGTTTTCTGGGGAATAACCAAGTGATGAATGAATTGCAAAGCACCAGCAAAGATCCACTTGAAGTTGATGTGTATTTTTAGCAAAATCTGCCTTTGTTCAGGCTTGCTCTGCCAGGGCCTGAGCAGCTGGTGCTAATGTTAACTGCCGTTAATATAGAATTTGGATTTTAGCCACTGATGATATTTCAAGAAGACATTATCCTCATAGTTGTCCTTAACAGTAAATCAAAGACTGATTGATTTGTTTTTCTCTCATTTGACTTCAACCTGTCAGAGGCATGTAATTAGTAAGCGCTGACTGTGGAATCCAGTATAATGAATTTTAATCAACAACTTTTCATAGACCTATGAAATGTTATAGCTATTATGAAAAATGAAAGCTCTCAAACTTAGCATGGTCTCTTTTGTTTGTAGTAGTTTCCATAGAATGTTTAAGTTTTAAGGTTTACATCTACTTAGGTGCAGTTTTTAATATTTTTTATTTACTCACAGTAATATCCTCAAGAAGAAATTTGCTAACTAAATTGAAACAGATATCATTTTAGGACCTCCCTTTTTTTTTTATATATATTAGGTTGAAAATGGTGTATTTGTAGCCAACCCGCTTCAGGAACGCACAATACTAATGAGAAAAGAGGGCGAGTCTGCAAAAAGCATTAATGAGATGCTTCTAAGTAGACTTTCTCGGTACAGAGCCTCCCCGTCAGCAACGCTGGCTGCCCTGACTGGTTCCACCATATCCAACACACTGAAAGAGGATCAAGCAGGTATGTTGCTCTGCACTTCCCAGACCTGTTTCCTTGTATAGCTCTGTTCAGCTGCGTTTTATTGAGCACTTCCTTCGTGCTGTACAAAGCCCTTTCCTTTGCATAGTTGACCTTATTTGGTCTTCTGGTCATTGTCCAGCTTTTTATTCCAAGCCAATACATGTTGTAGGCTATGAACATAAATTTGCATGAACCGGTACAAATGCAAAACAGCCCAATCTTAAACTGTAAATGCCTTATCATCATCACTATTTGTATAAATTAGTTGATTTCATATTTTGCATATGCTCTGTGAATGTGAAAACCTAATTCTTAGCATCATCTACCCTAAATACAGTCTTGACCAAGCAAGTAAGAGAAAAGCCTTCTACAGTAGCTATTTTGTTTTTTAGAATTCATCATTCAGTTTTTATAATTTTTTATTTATTTTTTTAGTTTTTGTAATTTAATGTTTTAAAATAGATAATACATGTACAGAATTTGAAAGTCAAAACGATGTAAAAAGTTATATGCAGAGAAGTCTTGTTCCCACCACATTGGTGAATTTTATATTCTGCCCCCACTCTACCCCACCATAGGTAACTATATTTATTAGTTTTCGTTTATCTTTTCCAGGTTTCTTCATGCAAATATAATTAAAGATAAATTTATATGTTCATAATTTCTGCCTTTTCTTAATAAAAGGTAGTATACTATATACACTGTTCTGTACTTTTCTTTTCTTTTTGAGACAGAGTCTCACTTTGTCGCCAGGGCTGGAGTGCAGTGGCACAATCTCAGCTCACTACTACCTCTGCTTACCAGTTTCAAGCGATTCTCCTGCCTCAGCCTCCCAAGTAGCCGGGATTACAGGCACCCACCACTACTCCCAGCTAATTTTTTGTATTTTTAGTGGAGACGGGGTTTCACCATGTTGGCCAGGCTAGTCTTGAACTCCTGATCTCATGATTCACCTGCCTCAGCTTCCCAAAGTGCTGGGATTATAGGTGTGAGCCATTGGCACCTGACCTGTTCTGCACTTTTAAAGTAGGAGTTCGTAACCAGGATACACCTTTAAGGGAGCATGTTATTAAACGTGCTCCTCAAAAATTTAAATACCATTTTATATGTATCTGTCATAACTGTCATCAGATTTGCAAAGTCATCTATGACTCCCAAAAACATAAGAACCATTATTCCATAGAGTTTACAGATTGCATATTAAATACCTGGATTTATAACAAACTATGAACTGTAGTAAAAGATAAGGCTAGAAAAAGATGCCATATGTAGAAAATTGCATTTGAATTAATATGCATTTAATGAATTCAGTGTAATTTTATGCTTTATTTTTATAGTTGGAAATGCTAAGAAGAAAAACTATGGTTAATTCACTATAAGACTACCAAATTATTTATTAGTCCATATTAGAATTTAAGGACAGTATTTTCACAGTCCTCTATTGTATCAAAGATAAGTGGCAAAATTGTTAATAGTTGTTATTATTTGAGTAAGTTGATAATTCCAGCTATAGATACTTTCCAGAGGACAGTTTTTTTGTTTTTGTTTTAACCGAAATAAACATTTTCGTGACAAGCTAAAGGCTTGATCTGGTTTTGTCCCTTGGGAGAAAATGAAATCTTAACCTAAACAATGGAAATACTAAAGGAATACTTGTTGAAAATATATATAATATAAACAAATAAAATCCCAGAAGGCAAGGGTATATTTAGAATTTGGTAGAAATGTGCTCGCTTTGGCAGCACATATACTAGAATTTGGTAGAAACTGGTATCTGTATTCTTAACATGTGGTCTCAATGTACTTTTTTTTAAAGAGATGGGATCTTGCTATGTTTCCCAGGCTGGTCTCAAACTCCTGGGCCCAAGGAATCATCGTACTTTTATATGCATTCTCTATGTATTCATTTAACATGATGTTGTTCCATTAAAAATTCATCAGTTATAAACTAAGAAACTTTTGAAAATTAAGCAAACATTCAAGGGGTCTATAAGTTTTTATTCCATTATAAACTAATACCTATTACCATGTTAATAAGTTTATGTCTATTAAAAACATCTTGGTGAAAATGTTATACTCACAGAGTTACTAATTTTCCAATTATTGCTGTCTTGGTGTTTCTTACCAGTGGAAATTTATCTTCTTGAATTTATGTCCTTAATGAAGAATATACCTGGTGGGGTCTTGCCGCTTAAAAAAAAATAAAGCTTTTTAGAAGCACAAGCATTCAAAACAAGTATCCAGTAGATTAGGTTTCACTTTACTCACTTTTCTAATCTAAAAATGATTTTCATTTATCTAGGCTGTAGATAATAAGTTAGATTTTATAGCCTGACAGTTTTCTAAATAAAGCACTCTGATTGATTTTCTGTTGACACCATCAGTCCTCTCTAGGCTTGTATATAGAAAATCCATAAATTCACTCCATGTTTCAGATATGCCAGTAAGGGAGATTAAAGTACATTTTATACCACTTGATTAGAAACAATAATTATTTTCCTAATGACAGTTTATGTCATTGACCCTTTAAAAAGAGAAAAATGTCTATAAGCGGTTATAATAAATTACACAGCTATAAAATTGTTTTGTGATAGATAGTGTGAAAGCTTTCATTAGTTTGAAATTTTTGGCTGATTTCATGTTGAAAACTGCTTATGAGTACAATATCACAAACCTGTCAATAATTTGTTCTATATATAATGGAAAAAAGAAAAAAAAAACCCAAGATCTTGATTGGAATGTAGGTTATTCATCCCAAATCTAAAAATCCAAAATGCTCCCGATTCTGAAACTTTTTGAGTGCCTGTGTGATGCCCAAAGGAAATGCTCTCACTAACCTCAGACATAATGAGTAAAAATAAATAAAGGAAATGTTCATTGGAATATTATGGATTTTGAATTTTTCAATTAGGAAGGCTCAACTCTTAAGTATAATGCAAACATTTCAAAATCTCAAAAAATCTGAAATCCAAAACACTTCTGGTCCCAAACATTTCAGATACATGTACTCAACCTGTATCAGTTTTCTAGGGAAAACACAAACAAACAGGATTCTTTTTTTTGAGATTTAGTCCATGTGAAGATTTATTTTTCTGGAATATTTCGTAGAGGCATGAGGGCAGACTGAGGATTGGGAACACCTTCAAGAAATGTTCAGACCGTGTAATAGGAGGCTAGGGATCAGGCTGTGGAGCCAGAAGATAATTATCTTTTTCCTTAGCGATTACTTCTTATCTGTTTTCCTAATCTGGAAATCTGTTTTCCAAATCTTAATTTGAGTTTGGGGCTCTCTCATTATATCCTAATCTGTTTTGGTAAACAAATTAATTTCTGTGTCAAATATTTTGACTTGGCATTTTCGTTCCTTTCTCCAGCAAATACTAGCTGTGGGCTGCCTCTGAAAATGCTGCGGAAGACACCCATATATACCTGTGGCACCTACTTGGTGATGCTAGTGCCTCCTCCAGGGGGATCAGGCAGCTCTGCCACCCGCTCTCTTTTTGGTGGAACAAGTGGTTTGTCATCTTTAAAAAGTAAGTGAATTTTACTTGTGGCCTTTTCCCCGATTTATCTCATACTCTGAAATTTAAGGCTCTCCTATTATTTAAAACTTACTTTGCCGGGCGCGGTGGCTCAAGCCTGTAATCCCAGCACTTTGGGAGGCCGAGGCGGGTGGATCACGAGGTCAAGAGATCGAGACCATCCTGGTCAACATGGTGAAAACCCTGTCTCTACTAAAAATACAAAACATTAGCTGGGCATGGTGGCACATGCCTGTAATCCCAGCTACTAAGGAGGTTGAGGCAGGGGAATTGCCTGAACCCAGGAGGCGGCGGTTGCGGTGAGCCGAGATCGCGCCATTGCACTCCAGCCTGGGTAACAAGAGTGAAACTCCGTCTCAAAAAAAAAAAACTTACTTTGTTAAATAGTTGTTTGCAATAGCTCTCTGATAACAACAAAAAATATCAGTTATCAATGTAGGTTAGGAAGATTTAAAAATATAACTTTTTGTGGATGATATAATAGTATAATTTGAAAACTATTGTCCTGTAAAATTACTAGAAATAATAATCAGTTCCACAAAGTTTTAGGAAGTAAAATAATATTTTGTCACATTATTTACTGATGACACAGTAAGAACTCTACTCACTATGATAGGATTTCTTTTTTTTTTAGACGGAGTCTTGCTCTGTCACCCCTAGAGTACAGAGGCGCAATCTCAGCTCACTGGAACTTCTGCTTCCTGTGTTGAAGTGATTCTTCTGCCTCAGTCTCCCTAGTAGCTGGGATTACAGGCACATGCCACCATGCCCAGCTAATTTTTAAATTTTTAGTAGAGATGGTGTTTTGCCATGTTGGCCAGCCCAGTCTCGAACTCCTGGCCTCAGGTGATCCATCCAAAGTGCTAGGATTACAGGCATGAGCCATGACGCCCCGCTGATAGAATTTCAAAGCTATTAAAATATGTATGTAAAATACTTTCATTTTAGGACACATACAAAATACTAAGCATAAGACATAGAAAAGAAAATGTGTAAAAATGTGTAAATTTTTTTTTTTGAGGCGGAGTCTTGCTCTGTCGCCCAGACTGGAGTGCAGTGGTGCTATCTCGGCTCACTGCAGCCTCCACCTCCCGGGTTCAAGCAGGAATCAGTACTTTATTACTTTTTCCTGCCTCAGCTTCCTGAGTAGCTGGGATTACAGACGTGCACCACTATGCCCAGCTAAGTTATTGGATTTTTAATAGAGATGGGTTTTCACCTTGTTGCTGGTCAGGCTGTTCTCGAACTCCTGACCTCGTGATCCGCCTGCCTCAGCCTCCCAAAGTGCTGGGATTACAGGCCTGAGCCACCATGCCTGGCTGTATTAATATTTTTAAATATACATATATTTTATAAGGAGGCACACTTCAGTCATTAAGCAGTGCAATTTTGCCTTCAGAGTGGACACATAGTTAAATGGAATAAAGTATAGAATTTAAAAAATGTTCTTTGGGTTGGGCATGGTGGCTTTATTGAGATATAACTCACACACCATAAATTTCACCCCTTTAAAATATACAATTCAGTGGTTTTTAATATGTTCACAGAGTTGTGTAATCGTTACCACTAATCTATCCATTACCCCAAAAAGAAACCTCATACTCATCAACAGTTGCTCTGCTACTCCGCGACCCTTGGCATCTACTAATTGATTTTCTGTCTCTGTGGAGTTACCTATACTCTACTTTTCATGTAAATGGAATTAGACAACATATTGCCTTTTGTGACTGCTTTTTTGTTTGTTTGCTTGATTTTTAATTTTTGGTTTTACTTGATAGTAGCAAAATATCACTTATTGTTTTGTCTCATTCTGTGCATATTATGGTGGCTGAGCTACAAATAAAATCAGGAGGAGCTATAAAAATAGATGCAGACAGACATGTAAAAATCTTGTTTCTTCCTTTTAGTAACTATTATCTTGGGAAAATTTATCATTCAAAGCTTCGACTTCCCCATTTAAAAAAATGTGCAGATAATTATACCTACCACATAGGATAGTGTGAGGATACTTGACACATTATGGAGACTTCTATATAAATATTGAATCATTTTTCCCTCTATGTAAATATAGTTATAGATTGTATCAGCTGGAGAGCTGTGTGATGTGAGAAGAGATGGAGAGTGTTCTCCCCTTATGGACAGTTCCACCCTTGCTTAAAGATACTCCTTGCTGTAGTGGGCTTGGTCTCCAGGAAGAAAGTACATGGAATGAGGTCTTCTCCTTAGTGCTTGCAAATGTGCATTTATTACTGGACACCAGTGATCCTACATCTTTCTCAGTCTTGAGTGATGGGATCACTGCGTTGTTACTGAGGCTCAGACAGGTGAAGTGATGTGGTCCAAGTCTCCTGACACCAGCCCCAGCTCTTTCTCGTTGGTTCCAAGTTTTTTTCTCCATCAGTTATGCGTTGCTGTGGAGGCCTCAGGAAACTTACAATCATGGTGGAAGGCAAAGGAGAAGCAGGCACCTTCTTCACAGGGTGGCAGGATGGAGTGAATCCGTGACCGCTTTTTAAACTTAACAATGTTTTCAAGGTTCATCCATGTTGCAGCATGAATCAGTACTTCATTACTTTTTGTGGTTGAATTATATTTTGTTGTGTGGATAATACCTCATTTTGTTTATTCATAATTTGATGGACACTTGAGTTGTTCCTACTTTTTGGCTACTTTGAATAATGCTGATATGAACATTAGTATATAAGTTTTATGTGGCTAATTTTTCATATGCTTGGGCACATTTATAGGAGTGGGATTGCTGGGTCATATAGTAACTGTATGTTTACCCTTGGAGGGACTGCTAAACTGTTTCCCAAAGTGGCTGCACCATTTTATGTTCTCATCTCCAAAGTATAATGGTTCTGTTTTCTCTTCATCCTCACCAACATTTGTTATTTTCCATTTTTCTGATTATAGCCATCTTTGTGGATATGAAGTGGTACCTCATTGTGGTTTTGTGCATTTCCTTAATGACTAATGATGCTTAGCATCTTTTCATGTGCTTATTTGGCATTTGTATATCTTCTTTGGAGGAATATCTATTCACGTCTTTTGTCCATTTAAAATTTGGGTTTTTATTTTATTGACCATCCGTTTTTTCTTTTTTTTTTTCCTCTTTTTTTCCTACGATTACCACATATTATGACCATTAGTCTTATTAAATTGTGTTTAGTCTTCTTGGCATGGCTTTTTTGCTCAATTGAAATTGACCCCATTTAATTAAAGTAAGTCTTTATGGTACCATTCTTTCATGAGGATATAGCTTACCCAATCATCCAACTTTAGCCCAACAAATCAGTAAATGCTTAAATTCCTTCTGTGTCCTGTTCTTCTTTGGCCACTTGGGGGTTGCTCAGAAAGTGGAAGAATTGGTGCTTGCCTTTAAAGAGCTCGTAGTCTAGTTGGGTGAGATGACATAGATGTATGAGACAGTGAGAAAATGATAGACAGTACTGCATCCCTGCTGGAAGGAACCATGTGGAGCAGATTTGTGAGCTGCAGAAACTGAGAAAGGAAGGTTTATTGTGGAGTGGGGTAGAAAGGAGAGACTTCATGAGGTTTTGAGTTTAAGCCATAAAGAACGGCTATTATTCATGTAAATGGCCAAGTGGGGAGAAAGCATACGTGTGGTAAGTACCACAAAAAAAGAGATTTGGAGATCTATTTTCTAGTGACCTTTTTGTTTAATGAGAAAACAAAATAGAAAAAAAAGAGTATCATTTATGTTATAATTCAAGTCAGGCATGATGAGGATCTGGTCTACTAGGGTGATGAGAATATGACAAAGAAACTCAAGAGACACAGTGCTAAAGTTTTGTTTGAAAGTGGGGAAGAAAATAAAAATAAAAAAACTTTTAAAAAAAGTGGGGAAGAAAATAAAGTCAGTTATAGCAACATATATATATGCATGCTGATATGGATCCTTGACATATTTTAACTCATTTAGTCTTCACAGTAACTGTATAAGGTAGGTACTTTTTATTATTTCCACTTTACAAATGAGGAAACAGATGTTCAATGACTTTCCCAGGGCCACCCGAAAGTGTCAGAGCTGGAATTCAAACTCCAAAGTCCGTGCTCTTTACCACTACACTATCCTGTGTTAAGGGAAAAAGCCAGGATGTCTCCAAGTTTTAGAGCCAGTATTAGGAAGGATTGTAGCTGAGCTGTGTTTGAGCATACATCAAGCTTTACTGAACACTGACTAACTGCATAGTGTTTCTTGTAAACATTTTTATCTTGTGATGTTAGTGATCATAACCCTTCTTGCAGTTACCCTTTTGATAATGTATATCAGAAAGAACCTTCATGCAAAAGTCGCCATTTTAAAAACACTTTCAAAATTATTGTTCAGTATTAAATTTAGGAAGATGTCTGGTTACAGTTTTCTTTTTGTGGTCTTATGCATATATTCTCCGTCTCTTTACCACCAATTACCACCAATATGCAACAACAAGAAAAGGGTGTGATTTTTATAAAAGTCTTGTTAATAGCCTGAAATTTAAACCTTAAAAATAATCTTCAGGATCATTAAACAGCTTAATGTTTGTTTCCAAAGTCCTAGCCTCCAGCTTGGTGTATAATATTTCGGATGGTCAGTTTACAAGTCGTGCAGATCTCATAGATGCTGCTGGAAGCTCATTGGGGCGTGGTGCTCTCGTACCAGGATTGGGTAAGAAATAAATGCACATGTTTCTTTGGAAAATTTAAAGTTTTAGCAAATTTGTCTTGAAATATCTTGCAATTCCCTGTGACATTCTAGTTTCCTTGAAAAGAAAGATGTTTTTTGTTTTGTTTTGTTTTTTTGAGGCAGAGTCTCTTCTGTCACCTAGGCTAGAGTGAAGTGGCATGATCTTGGCTCACTGCAGCTTCCACCTCCTGGGCTCAAGCAGTCCTCCCACCTCAGCCTCCCAAGTAACTGGGACTACAGGAGCATACCACCATGCCCAGATAACTTTATTTTTTTGTAGAGCCAAGGTCTCACTGTGTCTCCCAGGGTGGTCTCAAACTCCTGGGCTCAAGCAATCCTCCTGCCTTTGCCTCCCTAAGTGCCAGGATTACAGGCATGAGCCGTTGTGCCCAGCCAGAAATAATTTTTTTATACTAAATTTTAATTTTGGGACTCAGTATAAGAAATTGCCTTATGTAAAATTCCTCTGAATAAACTGCATTTGAAGATGATGTTTATTAGGTTGTGTGATGATACCCATAAGAAATTCTCAAGATTTATGCCATAAAAAGGTTTATTTCCTGTGAGGAATTGATATATTTGTTATTGTTAGAAAATGAATGTTAAGTAATATATTGGATTTTCTCTTTGACCTGGCTGATAGGAAGCTTATTTCTAAATTTTGGGCTCAGTTACTAGGGCCTTTTATTGTGTATTAATGTTAATTGGTTCTGTTATACCTGGGTTTTTAATGTAAGCCACTTAAATACTTTTTGGAAGTAGGTCACACATAAATCAGTTACTAAGAGCTATCTATTTTGTGAGACTTATTCTTTCTCACACAGGAGTTAAGCAAAATTAAAAATTAAATCCTGCCTTCTTGCTGAGTCCCAGCCCTAGTGCCTTGCTAAGTAAATCTATGGGAACAGGGATGTGGGTTGTCAACATTAGAGAGCATCCTTGCCCTTCCACTTTGTAGCAGTGATTGTGAGAACTATGTGTACAGGTAGCTGGTGGCATGATGACTGAATACAGTATGCTGTTTTTGCAGGTGCGTGTTATGACACAGTGAACAACATGCTATGGACATGCTCTAATGACTATATCGATCAGTGGTGTAACCCTGGGAATCAAGCCTTCCATTATGTCTGCCAGAGACTTGGAGTCAGTCACATTATCACTGAGCCCAAAGGTGAGGTGGGCTCAGGGTCTTACAGGAAAAGATTTCCCTCTGAAATGTGAGAGAATACCACAGCATTGGTAGGTGAAAACATAGCCCGACCCCAAAATGTGTCACCAGTTTTCCCTCTTTGAACTTTTGAAACCTAAAGTCTTTTGTTACCTGTAACCATGAAAGATGAGTTATGATTAAGCAAATAAGTATGTAAATAGAGCTTTTGAGGTGGTCCATAGATGCTTTTAAAGAAAAATTGTTATGTCCTTCCTGAAACTGTTGGAACTTTGGTGTAAAAATTGATTATTTGTATTTGGCATGGGATTATATGCCGTCGTAGTGTTTTGCATTGATAGTGACTTGTTTATATACAAACTTACAGTTAGGTGGCTGGGCACAGTGGCTCACGCCTGTAATCCCAGCACTTTGGGAGGCAGAGGTGGGCAGATTCCCCGAGGTTGAGAGTTTGAGACAAACTTATAGTTAGATAGAATTACCAATGAGGACCTTTGTATTTTTAAATATTAATATGAACATTCTTAATATTAAGTTAATATTAACTTAAAATCTTGTTGCTTTAAAGTCAACTATACTAATATGGAGGAATGAATCACTCAGCAAGTCCCCTCCCCATAAAGCAACACTAAAACAGGCAAAATTATCAAAAACAACTGTTTCCCGGCTCTGGAAATTGCCAACACATACACCAAATTGAGAGTGGTTGTTTGTTAGAAAAAACCCTGAACTTTGGGTAAGGATGGTGGCAGCCTGTGGTGTTCCTAGCTAAAGCTGCTCCTATCCTCCACCTCAGTCTGCTCTGAGACAATTACTTTGCTGACCACATCAAGCTTGGTCAGCACAATAATTCAGGGTGGGGAAGATTGTGAAAAGCAGCAGGTTTGCTATTAGGAGCAAAGCATGGAAAAACCTCAAGCCTATTAGCATTGTCAGTAATAGTAGTCATCTTGGTGGCAAACAACAGAAACCAGTGGCTCATCTGGTCTTAAATCATGATTCCATTTAGGGCAAGCAGTGGCCCAGCCGACTAGCTAGAAGTTTACTAGTGAGATCTGGATAGTGAGAAAGCTGCTGGGGACCAATCACCTACACAGAAAAGGCCGAAGACAGCCTAAGCTACTCACATAACCCTGGCTCAACATGAGTCTGCATACACATGCGAAGCTGTGAGAGGGCCCAACAGGAAGTAAAAAGCAGGGCAGAGTTTAAAACTGCCTGAACTTTGCTGCAGTTCCTCCAAAACACACAGATCCATCCAGGGTGAAAAGTGTTACTGGCTCAAGGTGTTGGAACACAATCATTGGTTGACAACAACTAAGGGATACAGATAGGGGTGACCCCCTAGGAAGCCAGGCTGAAAAAAGAAAAACAAGAATAATAATAAAAAAAAAAATGAGGCCAGGCATGGTGGCTCATGCCTGTAATCCAAATTCTTTGGGAGGCTGAAATGGGCAGATCACCTGAGGTCAGGAATTTGAGACCAGCCTGGCCAACATGATGAAACCCCGTCTCTACTAAAAATACAAAAAAATTAGCAGGGCATGATGGCAGGTGCCTGTAATCTCAGCTACTTGGGAGGGTGAGGCAGGAGAATCGCTTGAACCTGGGAGGTGGAGGTTGCAGTGAGCTGAGATCATGCCATTGCACTCCAGCCTGGGCAACAAGAGTAAAACTCCGTCTCAAATAAATGAATGAATGAATGAATGAATGAAACAAGGATTTGAAAAAATAAATAAATAAACTGAGAAGAGAAATCAGTAACCACGAAATGCAGGAGAAACTCAGGTGTTGGACTGATGACTTTAAAATCAGATGACTTAAAGCAGCCATTATAAATACGTTTAAAGAACGAAAGGAATCCAAGCTTAAAAAATTAAAGGAAAGTATGATGACTATGATTAAGCAAATTGAGAATTTCAGTAAAGAAATTATTTAAAAAAAAATGAAATGGAAATTCTGGATTTGAAAAGAAAAATTCATTAGAGTGACTCCACTACAGATTTGAGCTGCAGGGAGAAGAAAGCAGCAAACTTGGGCCATAGATTGGTAGAGTTGTTCTGTCTGAAGGGCAAAACAGGACACTTGGGGAGTACTGGTCAGGCATTTGTAGACTAGAATGTCCTTCCCTGTGGATTCATTTGATGCTTTCTCATGGTTAAACTGATGTTATGGATTGGGGAAGAATACCACAGAAGCAATATCCCCTTCATATTAATTACATCATATTCCAGGATACATGATATTGACATGACTTATTACTAGTGATATTAAAAACTGATCACTTGGTTTAAATAGCATCTGCCAGGTTTCTCCACTATAAAGTTGCGACTTTTCCCTTTCCATACTCTGTTAGTCTCAACCACACTGAAGGGAAGAGGAATTAAGCTCCACTTCCTGGAAGAAGCATATCAGAGAACTTGTAGACAAATGTTAATCACCATGATAATTAATATCTCTAGGGTCAGTGTATTTTCTCAGCTTTCATTCTTGATTATGGTATTTGTGTAAATTTACTAAAACTTAGTGAGTTGTGCATTTAGAGTAGGCGAGTTTTGTGGAATGTAAATTATATCTTGATAAAGCTATTTTTTTTTTTTGAAAAAGCAAAAAGTAGAAAAGAAAGTCTACATTACATTAGTGACTCCCAAACCTTTTGCCTAAACTGCATACTATGGATTCACTTGCACTTGGTTATCTAATGGACATTTTCAGCTTAACATGTCAAACATGAGGAGCCATATATAGATGGGAGCCATTTATAGGGGTTCTAATGTGGAGCAGCCATGGGACATGGAGCGGTTTTACTGGAGAGGTTTTACTAGAATGGTTACCAACAGGGGCTGTGGACTGAGGTGGCCTGAGTCCAAATCCCGGCTCTACCACTTCTTAGCTGTGTGACCTAGGGCAAGTTCCGTAACTTCTCTAACTCTTGGTTTATTGATCTACAACAGGGCTAAAATAGTCTAAGTTGAGAACCATGTAAAGCATTCAGCTCATTCTTCAGCATATAGAAAGGGTACAGTAAGTGGTAGCTACTTATGTTCCAAACAAATGAACTCCCCAAGTGTTTTCACCCTAGCACCTGTGGCAGGGAGAAGGGTTCTCTGGCAGCAGTAAAAGAGATTATAGCCAAAATACCCTTTCCTAGTGCACATGACCCTTTTATAAGTCAGAGGCCTATTCTTCGGGGACCACCCATAGAGACGTCTTTCCTCACTCAGTTTCCTTTTCATCTTCTAGAAGAGGCTATAACCACGAATGAGGTTATAAACCAGTTATTGCACCATGTTGGTGCGATGTGCATACACCAACTCAATCTTCTTGCTACCAACCCCAATCTTCCAATCACAAGTGTCTTGGGCAAGCAGCATCCAATTGAAGCACACCATCTTAGCAGTATTTGTGACATTATGGAGAAGGCCATGGTTAATGGAGATACCTGTATTATACGCTGCATTCTCGTTGTCTTTCAGGTAAATACACTGTTTTGAGATAAATAAGATGGCAGAGAAAAGGAAATGCAAACCTTGGCTTCAGCCAGTTCATTTTTACCAGAATAAAAATTTAATAACTTTCCTGTTCTGCATCTTACCCACCTTCTAATCCTGTAATTAGAATTACATTCATTGCACTGTAATTAATGAAATATTGCTATACATAGCTCATTGCAGTTAATATATGCAAAATATTTACTATAATTATACCATTATACAATAGAAGAGATTGTGGTTAAAAAAATTCACCTGGTTATTTGTTCATAGGCTATCTACCATGCACTTTCTTTGTAGGGATAATTTTATCCCCAGTAGAATTAGCATTTTTAGATAAACTCCTTATGTTTCTGTAGGTGGTATTTAAATTTTTCTTCAGCCCACAAACTGAAAGGAATCGAGACATCATTCGACGGTCGGGATTGCTTCTTTGGCAGTTGTTGATGGCACCAAAAGATCAAATTTGCCCTGAAATTCAGAAGGAAGTCTGCCTTGCCATCAGGTAAACAGCTAATGATTTTCGTAATTCTCTCTGCAAAATGATTCTTCTGCAAAGCATTGTAATCGTCCCTGAAAGCTGGTAGTACAAATGTCTCTTACCCTATCCCACAGTCGGGACTTCATGGATTGGGAATAATTTCAATGGAGAGGGGTTTGTGGCCCCACCCTCAGAGCACCAAAGCCAACTATGTACCTACATTTCCTTATCTCACTGTTTGGATCTAAAAAAAAAACACACAAAACAAAAAACCTTGTAAGTGGATATTTTCATTGTTTGCAAGCTCATGTTCTCATTTTGCGTAGTGTGGCAGGGTAGTTAAGAAGCAGGCTTTGGCAGCAGGCAGACCTGGGTTCTAGACTTTGCCGCTTACTAGTATGATCTTGGTTTAAGATTCACATTTCCTTAGCTGTAAGATGGGCATAAAAATAGCACCTGTTTTATGGGTTTATGAGGTTTTCCTAAGGTAAGACCTGATTCAAAGTAAGCGCTCAACAGTGTGAGCCTTTATCAATCTGTTTAAAACCTTTTGAGACAAGAGAGCAGAATTTACAGGTCATTTTCTATTTATTGTCAATCTTTTTTTTTTTTTTAGTTCAGTAAACTTTTTTTTTTGAGATAGAGTTTTGCTCTTGTCGTCCATGCTTGAGTTTAGTGGTACGATCTCGGCTCACCCCAACCTCCATCTCCCAGATTCAAGCAATTCTCCTGCCGCAGGCTCCCGAGCAGGGATTACAAGTGCCCAACACCACACCCACCTAATTTTTTTGTATTTTTAGTAGAGATGGAGTTCTGCCATGTTGGCCAGGCTGGTCTCAAACTCCTGACCTCAGGTAATCCACCCACCTCGGCCTCCCAAAGTGCTGGGATTACAGGTGGGAGCCACTGCATCTGGCCACAGAGAACTTTTATTCAGGAATACAGCCTTAAACTGACCAAGTATAATTTAGTGACCGAGAGAGCTGGGTGGTTGGTCTGAAAGATCCATATGATAAGGGTGAGCATTGATGACAGGGCATTGTTTTCCTTCCACAGTACATTATGCTTCAAATCTCTTGCTGTGGAGCATTAAGGCAATGATTGAAATCTGATATTCTGAGGAAACTTTTGGAGGAGATAGGTATATTCACTGTCTTGATTGTGGTGATGGTTTTATTGGTGTATACATACGTCAGACTTACCAGATTGTATATTTTAGAATTGACTGAATGTTAAAACTCAGTTGAAAAAGAAAACAGTCTAAGTGTGGTAACTCACACCTATAATCCCAGCACTTTGAGAGGCCACGGCAGGATGATTGCTGAGGTCAAGTTTGAGACCAGTCTGGGCAACATAGTAAGACCTCATCTCTACAAAAATATTTAAATTAACCAGGTGTCCTGGCGTGCACCTGTAGTCCCAGCTATTCAGGAGGCTGAGATGAGAGGATCACTTGAGCCCAGGAGGTCAAGGCTGCAGTGAGCCAACGTCGCACCACTATACTCCATGCACTCCAGCCTGGGCGACAGAGTGCAATTCTGTCTAAAACACACACACACACACACACACACACACACACACACACACACACACACACACAAAGAAGTGAAAAGAAAAAAGAGTCTGATGCTATTTGCAATACTGTTCTTCCCTGCTTTTTGGAAAAACTGAGAATTAGAAATTCACTTTCTTAAGTGATCTTTTGGGAAAGCACAATTAGTATATGTAGGCTTGACTACATTGACTTTTCATAGCTTACCAATTCCCTTTAACCAGTTCTGCATCTGGCCCCAAGTAACTTATCATTTTGGTAATTCAGAGGAGCAGGAGGAGGAGGAGGAGGAGAGGAATGCCATTTATCAGGGAAGTGATTGGACTGGATCGTGACAGTGAATTTAGATTCAAATACCTTTTTGGGCCAGGTACAGTGGCTCACACCTGTAATCCCAGCACTTTGGGAGGCCAAGGCAGGTAGATTGCTTGAGCTCAGGAGTTTAAGACTAACCTGGGCAACATATTGAGACCCTGTCTCAATTTTTTTAAAATAAAAGTTATTTCACAGTTTTATGTAATCCAATTGGCATCTTTAATAAAAATAAGAATTTAAATATTTAGAGTTTTGATTTTTAGAACATTTGATTAAATATTTTTGACTTTTTTGTCATTTCAGCTCTGGTTTAAATATCTTGTACCCAGGTGAAACTGAAATCAATAACTTACTTAAGCTGGTCTTAACAGAAGGTAAGAAGTAATCCTTTAAATTATCTTTGAACAGCTGTCCTTTTTTTTGTCCTCAAGAAAACAACTCCATATTAAGATAAATGAGACTTCTTTATATATGTTAGTCAGCATATTTAAAAAATGTATCTGCAGGCCAGGCATGGTGGCTCACACCTGTAATCCCAGCACTTTGGTAGGCCAAGTCAGAAGGATCGCTTGACCCAGGAGCTCAAGACCAGCCTGGGCAATATAGCAAGACCCTGACTCTACAAAAAATAAAAAAAATTAGCCGGGTATGGTGGCCCATACCTTGTTGTCCCAGCTCTCAGAAGTATGAGGCAGGAGGATTGCTTTAGCCCGGGAGGTTGAGACTGCAGTGAGCTCTGATTACGTGACTACACTTAGCTTGGGCAACAGAGCGAGAAGACATCTCAAAAAAAAAGAAAGAATGTATCTGCCTATCTACATATATGCTTATACTTCAGCCAGACTGACAGCAAAAACTGTGTTTTATATATCTGTAAGCTTTATAAACTTTCTGACTCCACTGCTTAGCATAATGTATGTGACTTTAGATGTTTAACGAATAAAATAATGACACTGGTGATTTCTAAGCCAGTTGTCTTCACACATTGGAGCCTAACTTTTTCTTAGACTAAACAACAGCAAAAGTTACTTTGTTAAAGACAGTTGGCATTAAAAAGCAACATTAAGGAACTGAAAATCACACTTAATGATATATCAAGAGGGTAATTACACTTTGATCAGGATGCTAGTTAAAAAGTCAGATTTGTTGTGATGTCATTTTTGCTGCTTTTATTTTTATATTTCTGTATGTCTAGTACCCCTAGCTTGCCAACAATCTATTTGTTTAAACACTTTTTAAAAATAGCATCAGTTTTCTGGTAGTCATTACCAAGGTAGTTTATGGAGCTTTGTTCCTTGTTAGGTGAGAGAAACAGTGGACTCTCCCAGCTACGGGATGTGATCCTAACCAATCTGGCTGAACAGCTCCAAAACAACCGATTTGGCAGCGATGAGGATGATCATTACAGGTGACACCAGTTATATTATTCATTCCTAGACTTTGTGTTCACAGTCATTAATTTACATTTAAATGTGTTTGATCGACTTCAGCCTCCTGTTAAAATGCATATGATCGTTAGCATGTTAAACCTGAAACATGGACCAGGTAATTCCACAGTTACCCTCAGCACTGATAATTGCACCTTTCAGTTTTATCAGTAAAGTAAGTTGGGCCTGGGGAAAGGGTCTGTAGCAGAAATAACAGATGGAACTTATTTAGGAGATCTTGGTTCAGAGTACTATCCAAATTGCTAGTCTACGAGAAAGGCTGAGTATGTGTGTTAGAGCTGGTGAAGGGGATGAAGGTGTTGTTTTTCTGTGTTATTTATAAAATTCATTGACTTGGTAGTTGGGTTTTGATTTCTATTAGTTTTGTTTAAATAATATAGCTAGTTGTTAGCATTATTACTAAGGTGATTTGCTTACAGAATCAATTAATTATGTATCTTCTATTTGTCATCTTACACCAATTATGTAAAACTTATTCTTTTATCAATATACCATCAATATTTTATTGTTACATTTTTCCTGCATTTTTAAGACTAAATGATGAACTTTTACACTACATTCTGAAGATTGTTGTACGAGAATCCTGTATCTTAATCACCAAGTGCCAAACTGTCTCTAAAGATGATTTTCAAAAGCTCCTTTCAACTGTGCCTGTAAGTAAAAATGTGCTTAATGAAAGAAAAATTATATCAAGCATCCCTGTTTTCATTTTATTGTATTGACAGGTGTGTGTATACATACAGACTTAATTTATGAAAGGCCAGGCACGGTGGCTCACGCCTGTAATCCCAGCACTTTGGGAGGCCAAGGCGGGTGATCACCTAAGGTCACGAGTTCAAGACCAGTCTGGCCAACATGGTGAAACTCCGTCTCTACTAAAAATACAAAAGTTAGCCAGATATGGTGGTGCACACCTGTAATCTCAGCTACTCAAGAGGCTAAGGCAGGATAATCATGTGAACCCGAGTGGCAGAGGTTGCAGTGAGCTGAGACCGTGCCACTACACTCCAGCCTGGATGATAGAGCAAGACTTTATCTCTAATAATAATAATAATAATAATAATAATTTATGAAAGTCAGATTACTACTTAACTTAGAAATGTAGAGCTAGACAAATCCACTTGAAAAACTTTTTCCAGAGACTGTTCCCCCTGCTTAAAATTACTTGATGCAATAAATTGATCAGAATTGGGTGTTTTTATCTAGTGAGAGTTTATTCCCTTATTAATTTTTAATTTTACATTGTTTTCTAAACCGTGAGTAAAGTTTTATAGAGACCAATAGGAATCAAAAGATTCTTTTAAGGGTTTGGGTATTCTTCTATAATGTAAATGTGTGTGAGAGGGAGGGGAAAGAATAATTATTGAGGCAAAAATTCAAGTAAGTATTCTGATTAGTGAGGATTGTGTAGCAAAAGGCAGAAAGTTATAGTAAATGTGTCAAAGTACGTATGGAAAGCCATATGGAAATAAGTCACCTGAAATACTAACTTGGTCTGTTTTCTGTACTTTCTCTTTTTGTTTTCTTTGTCAAAATCTTTTAAAAACATGAGGATTACATGATCGCTCTTTCAGTAGGGTTTAGATCATTTAAATGCCCTTATTTGTATTAAAGGCTGCATCCTCCTGCCTGCGCTATCTGATGGCAGTTCAGAATCATCTTCTCAGTAACACTATTTTGATTAAACCTGATGAGAATGATGACAGTGACAGCTCCTTGCAGGGAGAGACATTGAAGGTACAGGTAAACACCAAGCTTTATTTTAACGATGTGTTCTACCCAGTGTGTAAAGCAGTTGATTGGCTAAATTTCTGTGTATTATGATGTCAGAATTCACCTTGTGGCTTATATTCTTGTGAGAGATAACATTAGGCCACTCATTCCACAGATTTTTTATGTCATTGCACAGTGGTCACCATATTTGTGACACTCATAATGTGCCATCCATGTGCTCCTGTCAACCTTTTGTGCCTTTGTTTACTTCCATCTTCTTTTAAAAACTATATAATATGGCACTTACAAGTGATCTCATATGTACCTGAAATTTATATTTATATAGACATACATATATCTATAAATCTTGGAGCATTAAATAATTTAAAATTTTTGATGGTTTATTCTCTTGATTAAAATAACTTTTAAAAGATGATAGTTTTCTCTCAATCTTCATATGGAATAATCTCGTTTCTAAACCTATAAGTCAATTTCATTTTCTGTAATTATTTTTAAATTAGCTTCCATATAAACTCACTAACTTGTTCCCAAATGACAATTTATAGTAGTCCAAAGATTTTTTTATAGTTATGATTGTCATAATTTTGACAGATGCTCAAGGCTGTTGTTTGCATTGTTCTTCAGAATTTCAACTTTGTGGGAGAATCAGAGAAATCAACTAGAATTTTATTCTTTCTTAAAATGTTAACCACACTGAAAAATCAACCAAGGAAGCCATAGTTAAAGATAAAAGCCATTACAGATTGCCCTTTTCTCACTCCTTTATGTGTATATATTATTTAAATCATATATCTGATAGTTTGTATTTATGAGTTTATCTCATCGTATAATCCAAAATTTTTAAATAGGCAGACATACATGCAAGTTGTTGATAATATTTAACTTCTCTTGCCTTAGTTTCCTCATCAGTAAAAAAGGACAATAATATATTCTTTGTAAAGTTGCTGTATTAGCAACAAGCCCTGTAAATACCTGGCACTTTGCTGCTATGTGATATGGAGTCAGTAGATGATCGTGCATGTCATTAGTGTGACTTAAAGCATGATTTGGCTCATCATTAGTTCAGAGTTCCTACTCTGTTAATGATTAAAAAAAAAAAAATCTCAATAATACTAAAAATGGCTGAGTGTGGTGGCTCACACCTGTAATCCTAGCCCTTTGGGAGGCTGAAGCAGGCAGATCACTTGAGGCCAAGAGTTCGAGACCAACCTGGCCTACGTGGTGAAACCCTGTCTCTACTGAAAAATATAAGAATTAGCTGGGCCTAGTGGCGCCTGCCTGTAATTCCAGCTACTGGGGAGGCTGAGGCAGGAGAATCGCTTGAACCGAGGAGGCGGAGGCTGCAGGGAGCCCTGATTGCACTCCAGCCTGGGCAACAGAGTGAGACTCTGTCTCAATCAATCAATCAATCAATCAAAATAGTAAAAAAGACCTCAGAAAATTCTAGCAAGGAGAAAGTTTTGTCTATTTGAAGGCTCAATTATAATCTTAGTAAATTTTTTTTTTTCTTTTGGGATGGAGCCTCACTCTGTTACCTAGCTGGAGTGCAGTGGCTCAGTCTCAGCTCACTGCAACCTCTACCTCCCAGGTTCAAGCAATTCTCCTGCCTCAGCCACCTGAGTAGCTTGAATTACATACGTGAGCTATGATGCCTAGCTAATTTTTGTATTTTTAGTAGAGATGGGGTTTGTACCATGTTGGCCAGGCTGGTCTAGAACTCCTGATCTCAAGCAATCCATCCGCCTCGGCCTCCCAAAGTGCTGGAATTATAGGCATGAGCCACTACGCCTGGCCTAGCCTTAGCATATTCTTAATTAAACCATAGAGAGAAATATAAAGACTCTTAAGAAAGGCTGAATAGGCTTAGTTGTCTAGGTTTCTTGGGAAAAGTTAAAAAACACATACATGTCCCCTAAAGAGTTTGTATTTTTTTTAATTGAAAATAACTGTAAACTAAACATTTCTATGATGTTAGCTAGTCTTTCTTAATGCATTATTTAGTATTTGTACTCCCATGAACTCTTTGTTATTTTAATGTTTAATTGCCTGTAACTGCCTGCTACTTTAATTGAATTTTTTTAACTGCCTGTTTTCAAGTGTGATGGGTTTAAGACATTAAGTAAAAGGTCACTTGTACTGTTTCAGAATGTTGTGTTTTTGTCTCATTTTATTCACCGCCTCTACATGCACCTTTTACTGTTCTGTTTTTCTCTTTAGCTATCCTCATACCACCCAAGGCAGTCTTCCACCTGGACAGTTTCTGGGCTGGCCACCAGGAGCTCTCTTGTGCTGGATGGGATGGGAGATAGGCCTTTTCTCCTAGGGACTCAGTGTGATCCCTCTGAAATACTGCGTATTTCTGTCAGCTCTCCAGACCCTGGTCTCCCAAATTGCTACTTGCCATCCTGGCAGAATTTACTGCTTTGGGCTTATTCTGGCCACCTCATTATTTCATTTGGAAATGCATCATTAAATACATCATTTCATGTTGTCATTGTGAACGTACGTTCATCACAAAGCTTAAAAATAATACGATGATATTTTCTGCCTAGGAGCTAAAAGTCAGTATTTTGGCTCTTGCCACCCAAATCCTGACTGGATGTGATGAAGTGTTGGAAATGCTACAGCAGGTCACAACTGCCCTCATAAATAGTGACATAGCAGACCGTGAGCAGAGGTGAGGAATGGATTTGTGGGCTGTGACCAGCTGCCCTTCGGAAAGAAAAATTTGTTTATTAAAACTAAATATTTTTAGAACAGAATATAGAAGGATTAGTTTTATATAGATAGATTTTTGTGAGAATAGGCTGAAAGGGCAAGTGTTTGAAAGCCAAGTGCAGTCACACTCTTTCATGTGCTTTCAGGTGAGACTGGACCAACAGCCATGATCTAAGGGTAGCAAGGTTATGGAGGGCATAGCCTGATCTCTGCCACTTGGGACTTCTAGTGTCATCACTCCCAAACTGGCCTTTCCTTTAATTATTGAGGTCAGCACCATGCATACTTAGTTTCCTCATGATAAAGACTTCTGGAAGGAAGAAGTGACTTATCAACTGCTACTCAAAAGATGACACTGATGTGATATCTCAAGATTTTACTGTAATTTTACTTCTCTAAATACATGACTGACCTATATAGAGGGCAAACTTCTTTTTCACAGGAATAAAGCCCTTTCTCAGCCCTTCACATGAAAACTTCTGCTGTGGTTTGCTTTTAGAGATGCATTGCCCACTATGTTTTTTGACGATTTGAATGTTAGATCTAAAAGAATCCTACAGTGTAATTTTTGCTTTTGTAACCCTGTCTGTTACTCTGGCCTTGGTTCTTGCCCACTCCTAGGGAGTAGATAGGAGGTTGGGATTGAGAACAGTATAACCAGATAAGCATTGCATTGAGGCTTAGTAATACGTAATTCAATCTAATGGGAGAGCCTGAGTTTCTGGTTCCAATACCAATATCCCAAATAGCCTTAGGGAATTTACATAATCCATTTCTTTTTGCATTCCTTAATTTACTAGCAGGGGACAGGGATATTAAGAATGTGATTTTAAAGATAAATTTAAAATTTGCCTACTTAGATTAGTCCAAGTCATATAGACTGAAAGTAGAATGATGGTTGCCAGGGGCTGGGGGAAAGGGGAAAATGAGGAGTTACTATTTAAAGGGTATAGAGTTTTGGTTTTATAACACAAAAAAGAGTTGTGGAGATGGATGGTGATGATAGTTGCACATTATTTAATAACGTTGAAATGTACACTTAAAATGGTTAAGACGGTAAATGTTATGCTATATTTATTTTACTATAATAAAAGAAAATTGAGAGGAAAAAGATCTGCCTGCTTCTGCACGTCCCAGACAAGCCTCACTTTCTCTAGACCAGTAATGGATGTCATAGCTATGGGCAGGCGAATCAATGTTGTAGCCATTCACTTCCTCCTTTTTAGAGTGCCCAGTGTAGCATAGTGACCAGCAGAGAACCTTACAGGTAGTAGCTATTGGCATTTTAGAACCCATTTGTAAAGTGCTTCAAAGGTGCCATGTAGGTTGGCTCCATAGTTCACGCCTGCAATTGCAGCAGTTTGGGAGGCCGAGATGGGAGGATCACTTCTGCCCAGGAGATCAAGGCTGCAGTGAGCTCTGATGGTACCACTGCACTCCAGCCTGGGTGACAGAGTGAGACCCTGTCTCCCAAAAAAAAAAAAAAAAAAAAAAAAAAAGCATTTTATAAACTTTTGGGCAAAAACACAGATTGAAGGTGAAACCCATTAATAACTTTCTGTTCTTCCCCTCTCCTTCAGTGTGGAAAAGTTGTGGACTGAGTTGCTATCACTGAAAGTGCTTAACTAGTTTAAGGAGATGCAGTGTAAGAGAATTTGTCAGATAAAGATGACATTAGTTGCTTCTTCACGTGTTTGGGCGTTGCTTAGGCTGTGTGTTTTTCTTGAACTTTTTGTAGGTTAAAAGGCTTGGAACAAGTTACTAAGGCTACTATGCTTGGTCACCTTCTTCCAGTGTTACTGACCTCCCTGATGCATCCAAATTTACAGACTCTGATCATGGCCGATGCCCTGATGCCTCAGCTAGTGCAGCTGGTACTCTATACCAGCCAGGTATGATCCTTGATGTGCCAAATGAACTGCTTTTTGGCCAAGCTGCTTCACAGGGTGGCTGTTTGCTTTCACTGAAGACAGAATAAACATAATCCTGTCTTTCAGAAACTAAGGGTAATAATGATGGAATGAAGAAAAATAACATGTCATAAAAATAAATATTAAGGGAAAATATTTTGTTTGGCTAAATTACTAAGTGCAATCTTTTAGTGAGTGTTCATAGCCAATCAGCTGTAAAAATACTAATATACAATGCTACTAAAACCCTACCATTATAGTTTGTCTCCTGAGTCCCTTGCCAGCTAATAGTAGCTAATATAAATGATGTGTTCCATTCCAGCATTAAGTAAAATAATGTCAAGTGGTCTAAGTAGCACAGCATTTCTTGCTGAAGGATTGTAAAAAGGTAATTTAAGAGAGACTGCTAAGTTTGGCTCTTATACCATTCAGATAACTGACAGTGGCACTCAAAGACATAATGATGGTTTTGTGTTTCAGACGGCTTTGCTGCTTAAAACGCAGTGTCCAGTTTTTGCTGAGGTGGGCTGTTCCCCATGTGGTGCACCAGACCAGAAGTGTAGGCTGTTCCCTGATGAGAGGTAATGGATGCTGCTTCCTTGCAGGAACTCTTTTCTTGTTTTCTTCTGGTGAAAGCCTAGTACTCTTTTTTATGACAATGATTTTTAGCAAGGACTATCTAACTGTGAAAAGAGACTTTGGAATGAAAATTTTAGGTAACTGTAGATTTATAGCAACTGGTTAGAATAAATTTCCCCGTGGATCAGAGATTAGTTCAAAATTGATGTGAAATTCTCATATGCTAATAGTGAGGATATAAAATATTATGACTTTGGCAGGCAGTTTGGCTTTCTTTTCTTTTTTTTTTTTTTTTCTGATATGGAGTCTTGCTCTGTCACCCAGGCTGGGGTACAGTGGCATGATCTCAGCTCACTGCAACCTCAGCCTCCCAGGTTCAAGCAATTCTCCTCCCTCAGCCTCCTGAGTAGCTGGAATTACAGGCGTGGGTTACCATGCCCAGCTAATTTTTGTGTTTTTAGTAAAGACAGAGTTTCACCACGTTGGCCAGGTTGGTTTCAAACTCCTGACCTTGTGATTCGCCCACCTCGGCCTCCCAAAGTGCTGGGATTACAGGCATGAACCACCATGCCCAGCTGGCTGTTTCTTAAAAAGTTAAACTTATATCTACTGTATGACTCAACTACTTCACTTTTACATATTAACACGAGAGAAAAGAAAGCAAGGTTCTTACAAAGGCTTTTACATTAAGGTTCACAACAGTTTTGGTTAGAAGAGCCCAAAACTGGAAACAACGTAAATGTCCATCAGTAAGTGAATGGACAAATAAATTGTGATATAGTCATACAACAGACTCTAATCAGCAATAAAAAGGAATGAACTATTGTTATATATAACAGCATGTATATAATCTCAAAATACTAAACCCTGAGGGAAAGAAGCTGCATCCCCTTAGGTCATGTACTATATGATTTCATATATAAAAAACTCTAGAAATGCAAACTAATCTCTAGTGACAGACAGCAAGTAAGTGTTCACCTAGGGGAGAAATGGAGTGGTTACAAAAAGGAAGAAGGAAACGTAATAGATATAACAAATGTCCAAACTTATCAAGTTGTATGCTTTAAATATGTGCAATTTATTATGTCAATTAGGTTGCATTAAAGCTGTACTTAAAAAAAAATGTTCAGAAAGGAAAGATTTCCTGAGTTTCTCTAGAGCACAAAGATATGGAATTGAGCTTTTTGCAGTGATAAAAACTTCTCTCTGTGCTGTCTAGTGCCATAGCGACAGGTTGTTATTGAGCACCTGCAAGATAGCTAATGTGACTGAGGAACTGAATTTTAAATTTTATTTCATTTAAATTCAATTTAATTGAAATAGCCACATGTGACTAGTAGCTACCATATTGGACAGTAAGGCTTTGCAGCTCAAGCTTCAGAGTTGAAAGAATAAGAGAATTTCATGGCAGCTAAGTTTAAGTCTTAGGAGTTTGTATTCCACAACCTCAGGCTCCATGAAGTCCTTGAGAGTTCAATTATAGTAGGTAAGAGAACCTTTGAAGGCACCTTTCTTTAGTAAAAATTATAGTAAAAAGTAGTTATGTAGACTTTTGGAGTTTTCAACAATTGGCATGTAGATATCAACAAAAGGAAATTTTTATAGGATGCCAACCCCGTGGGATTTGGAAAGGGGCCAATCTTAAGGATCCTTTACAGTATCCATTTTTTTTTTCTGAGTACCTTTAAATGAGAGTTGATCAGGTCTTCTCCTGGATATCAACTGGGCTTCTCCCTTGAAAAAAGAGGGAAAAATGAAAACATGTTTCTGTTTTTTGTCCTGGAAAAAGGCAAAAAAGAAAAAAAAAAGCAAATATATAACAACAAAGAAAAAAACCCTTAAATGGAGAAATTTTTAAATGTTTCTGATTGGAAAATTAAAGAGCAATTTAATGTTTACATTATTTTTCCTTAACTTGCCTGCTAAGCTGAATCATTTTCTCTTTTTCTGTTTAGAATGTTAGAAGAGAAGGAGGAGCCAGGATTTCTCACTGGTTTAAAGATTCCTGCCCCATGGGCTGCTGGGAAGACTGTGGAAACAGTCCACCCTGTCAGAGACAACTATAAATTTAAAGAAACGGTCCATATCCCAGGAGCTCGCTGCCTGTACCTTAGATTTGATAGCAGATGCTCTTCACAATATGACTATGACAAAGTAAGTAAGAATTGGGTTGCTATTGGTTCCACCTTGAGTAAGCTGATTCTTAGATGCTTCTTATTTTTCTTTGCTGCTGGTCACCATTCTTGACTGATTTCTGTCTGCAGATATCTCTAAGGAGAACTTTTTTAAGATAAAGTTCTTTATCTTTGAAGGGTAGTAATTGAGGGAGTTAAAGAAACACCACCTCTGAGGTCTAAGAACAATATTTTAATGATATGTTGAAAGTGTACTTCGTAAGCTTTCAGATGCATAGATCTGAGTGGAATGAAATGTCCCTTTTCGTTTTGCTTACCCCCTGCCCTCCCTGTGTGCTTGAAGTTCCTCCAGATGTGTGATGTCTATTCATCTAGAAAGGTCTCACTGCCCAATTCTTGGGGCTTCTCATGTATCTTTTGGGAAAAGGTGGCTTTTTAGAAGAGTTTCAGAGGTGCTAGGATCTGGTTTATATTTATTTAAACATTTGTTCTTTTTTTGAGGAAGAGTAGTTTCCAACCTGGTGGCTTAACAGTTGAACGAAAGGAAGCATCTTAGGGATTGAAGCATTTTCTTCTACTTAGAATTATTGAATTGTAACCCGTCATGTTAGTCTTGGGAGGAAAGGCTAACCAAATATGTAACATATGAAAGAACAGCTAGAGGATTATCTAATAGCTTCGTGAATACTCTCTTTATGTAGCTATAAATGTTTCTTGTTAGTGATCTGTGGTCTCTCTTTCCTGTGAACTATGTGAGGGCAAATGGGCTTAAATCCTAGTAGGGGATTCTGACTTCTGAGGCTGGCTTTAAAAAAAATTCTATCTGGGGAGGTTTTTAGGTTAAAAATAAAGGACATCTTAACTCTATATACTATGAGATGGTGAAACACATTTCTGGGCAAGTTATAGAATCCTCTTCCCCGTTATCTTTTAGGATAGTGAAAATTCCCAGGTGCCCCCAAAGATTTGTCCTCAAAACTCACCTTAGCTGGAAGCAAGAAAATGTATGAGTTGATCTTTAGTAGGCCTTTCAGAAATGTGTCTCCTAGCATCAGTCTACCCTACTTCATAGCTCCTGGCATTGACTACCCCCATTTCCTAGGTCCAGGTGAAGTGACTTTTAATATAGAAATGGGAGAGGCTGCCATTTTAGTTGGTGTCTTTTTGTTTCTCTTTTTAAAAACGTAATTTGCATTTCTGATATGAGCTAACCTATGCCTGCAGTAGATATTAGTGTAAAATGATGAAGCACAAACAGGCTTATTACATGGATGAAAGTACATTTACTTTTCCAGTGGTCCCTGGCTGGTGTCAGCAAAAGGCCCCAAAGGGTAAGAAATCACAAAATAATAAGCATTCAGGGCTGAAGATGGAGCTTCTAAATCTGAACTTAGACACAGTAAGAAGCAGTCAAAGTGTACATTAGAAGACAGGGTTTGGTATTTACAGAAGCCAGAGCTTTATTTTTCCTATGGAAGTCTTTGAATGCCAAATGAGCTATAAATGTTTCTTCTGCCTATTAGAAAGTCAGCCAGCTGGTTATAAATGAATTAGAGACATACTGATACATGAAAACTGACCCAAGAAGCAGCAGCCCCCTTTCTGACCCAAATTTGTATCATTTTCTTTTTCTACCATTAAGCAACATTCTAAGAATATATGGCTTATTTTCAATTTGTTGCATTTTAAAAAATTCTTATTTATTCATTGATTTTGCTTTTTGGTGCTTTTATTTTGTTGTTGTGCTAGATATAACCATATTTCCATCTGTATTTGCTCACTTTATTAATTTTGGGGAGGACTTAAGGGGCCAAACTGTTATTAATGAGTTATATGTTATTAATTAGTATTAAAGCAACTATTTCAAAAATATTGATGTACAATAGCTGAGTGTAACTATTTAATGGGAGATCCCCAAGCCAATTAAAGCAGGGTAATATAAAAAGTATACTTCTTGTTATTAATAATTGTTATTATTCTGTGGCTTCCCTGTAAATACCAATGACTGATTGCATCCAAACTAGTATCAGTTATACCTAAAAAATTAGGAAATATTAGTTATACCATAATGACACCAATGCCTGGTTATAATTGTATTTTAAACACAATTTTTTGCAGCCTTTTTATTTGTAGATGTTGTTTTTGTTTTTCTTTTACAGTCTAACAGTATATTTTCTGTTTTGAAGTTGGTGATATATGCGGGGCCTAACACAAACAGTAGGAAGGTTGCTGAATATGGAGGCAACACACTGGGATATGGCAGCCGTAGTGTCTTAGGAACTGGCTGGCCGAAAGACTTGGTGAAGGTATGGTATCCAGTCATAATTGCTTCCTAGAAAAGAAAATGAGCTTGCAGTCCTCACAGGTCCAAGTACTAACTGTAATCCCAGAAAAACATTTGCCATGGGGCCTTTTGTTGAGGTGGGGCCACCTTTCCAGGCCCATCAACTCACTGCTTCTATTCAGAATGACCCTCCTTTCACTCGTAGGACATGAGACCCCTGTTCACTCCCTTTCACAAGTTATTCCATGGATAGAAGTTGTCACAGCATTTTCTTCCTTGTTGATTAAAAGGGTTGCTAGTTCTTCCCGCTTAGTTCTCCGCCACACTTCCTGTTGACAAGTACCCTAGAACCACAAGGCCATTGCAGTGTAAAAGTGTTGAATTAATGTGTTCAGATGAATTTAGGCCTTTGGAGCAAAAACAATTATCCATTCTCAAACTGATGAAATTAGGGCCATGCTTTGTAATCTGGGTCTTAAACTACTTACTATGTATCTGTCTGGAATATGAATATAAACTGAAATGTCTGTTAAAACCCAAAAATGTCTCCAAAGTCTGTTCCTAGGGCCTTGACTTCATATACATTATGGACCCTCTTTAATTCAGCCATAGATGAGAAGCCATTTGTTAGAAATTATGACTGGGCACGGCTGCTCACACCTGTAATCCCAGCACTTTGGGAGGCCGAAGTGTGAGGATCACCTGAGGTCAGGAGTTCAAGACCAGCCTGACCAACCCCGTCTCTACTGAAAATACAAAAATTAGGTGGGCGTGGTGGTGTGTGCCTGTCATGCCAGCTACTCAGGAGGCTGAGGCAGGAGAATTGCTTGAATCTAGGAAGCGGAGATTTGCAGTGAGCTGAGATTGGGCCATTGCACTCTAGTCTAGGTGACAGAGCGAAACTCTATCTCAATAAAAGAGAAATTATGCTCAAGGCCGAGCACAGTGGCTCATACCTGTAATCTCAGCACTGTGGGAGGCTGAGGTGGGCAGACTGGTTGAGCCCAAGAATTTGAGACCAGCCTGGGCAACATAGTAAGACCTTGTCTCTACAAAAAAAAAAAAAAAAAAAAAAATAGGGGGGCATGGGGCTGCATACTTGTAGTTCCAGCCACTCAGGAGACTAAAGTGGGAGGATCTCTTGAGCCCAGGAGGTCAAGGCTTCAGTAAGCCATGATCATGCCACTGCACTCCAGCCTGGGTGACAGAGTAAGACCTTGTATCAAAAAAAAAAAAAAAAAGAAAGATTTGATTAACCTTTACCTTGATCTTGCTAATGGGCAACTGTGGCCCATTTCACAGTTGCCTCATCCCAAAGGCCACCTGGTGGTCAGGAGAGACACTTAAAGGACTGGGTGTCTAAATGAGAGGGAATGGAGTTTGAATCAAAAAGCAAGTGAGAAAAGGAGTGAAATATTGCTGTGGTCCTTTTTGAAAGTAAATCTCTGAAATTCATTGCTCTTTTGAAAATTGTGTATCTTGTTTTTAAAGTGCATTTCCCCCCCCCTTCCTTAAATTTTAAGGTGGAAGGAGATACAGTCACCTTCTCCTTTGAAATGAGAAGTGGCCGTGAACACAACACTCCTGATAAAGCCATGTGGGGCTTTGCTTGCACAGTTCGCGCTCAGGTACTTGAATCTAACCACTGCCATGGACAAAATATACTATCTCCTATGTGCCTTGATTACATACATCATATTTGCCTTGGAAACAGGGCAGAATATGAGTCACCGTTTCATCTGTCTCTTCTATTTGGCACTAGTCAACTACTAGGAGTTAGTAGTACTTTTACAGAATTAAACCTACCATGACCTAAAATCAGCTCAGCAGCACAGAAATAAATCTATTGATTGGGGCTCCCTCTTCAAAGGTTGGGGAGGTGACCTTACCCCAGCATCTTTCCATAGGACTCAATAGAACTTAGTAGAAATAAGCACTTGGATCCTGGGTTTTAAGGGTAGTTAAGCATCCGGCTGGGCATGGTGGCTCACGCCTGTATTCCCAGCACTTTGGGAGACTGAGGTGGCCGGATCAACTGAGGTCAGGAGTTGTAGACCAGTCTGGACAACTTGGTGAAACCCGATCTCTACTAAAAATACAAAAATTATCTGGGTATGGTGGTGCATGCCTGTAGTCCTACCTACTCTGGAGGCTGAGGCAGGAGAATTGCTTGAACCCAGGAGGCAGAGATTGCAATGAGCTGAGATTGTGCCACTGTACTTCAGCCTGGGCGACAGAGTGAGACTCTGTCTCAAAGAAAAAAAAAAAAGAGGACTTAAGCATACTACTGACCCCTCCAGTTGCCTGATTCTAAAAACATATTTTAGACTTTGAGGTTTCTTAAGCTTAACCAAGCTAAGACTCTCCAGAGTGGCATTAACTGCTAGAATGTAAACTCCATGAGAGCAGAGATCTTCGTTTCATTCTCTGATGTATCTCAGGCACCAAGAACAGTGGCTGGCATACAGTTGGTACTCAGTAAATATTTCTTGAATGAATTCAGTGCAGTCATTGACAACATCATTGTTTGAGCACAGGATGGAAGTGACAAAACAAAATAGTGGTTTATACTTAGGCACAACAGAAAGGAAGCTATCAAAGAATCGGATTTCTTTATTTGATTTGTGCTATTTCTAATATGGGGTCTGGTCAGCTGTTTTCTCTGCAGAATTGTGTTGCAACTTCGTTCTGGTCATTCCAGTGCCACCATCTAGTCATGATTTAGGTGCTGTACCTGTGTCCCCTAGCAGTAATACTTGATGCTGCTCTGTAGAACCCTGTGCTTGGGGACAGTGCAGTGTGGGGCAGCACAAGTAGCCGCCTCTGCCAGTGTACAAGTAGCCGCCTCTGACCAGTGTGGTTTACCCCTGTCTGCATTGTAGGAGTCTTCGGAGGATGTCTCAGGAGGCTTGCCCTTTCTGGTAGACCTGGCTTTAGGTCTGTCTGTGTTAGCTTGTTCCATGTTAAGAATCCTGTACAATGGACCAGAAATTACCAAAGAAGAAGAAGCCTGTCAGGATCTATTGCGGTCCAAACTTTTACAAAGGTAACAAAAAGGTTGAAGTTTAGCTAGTGTTGCCTGCAAAGGAAAAAGGACTTTATATGGAAATCTCCTTTTGGTACATTTCCCAGGTGATTGTGCCCACTGCTTGGCAATCTCATGGGTGTTATTGTGTCTAAGAAAAAAGTTGAAAATTACACCATAGTGCTTTCTGGCCCTTACTTTACTAAATATAAAATTACATCTTTGAACTGCATAAGCTTTTCTCCAACACAATTATTGTCTAGTTAAATTGAATGATCCCCCAGGAGGATGGGTGATTGTGTGATAAGGCAAACACAGCAAATGTTTATTGTACAATCTATACAAGTGGGTCTGTCAACATTAACCATGTCATTCTTTCAGCTTTTCTGTACATTTCAAAGTTTTAATGATTAAATATTGGGGAGGAGCTAGATCTCCAAAGATGGGCTTTCATACAGTGCTCATTTTTCTTTAGCTTCTGGAGAAGTTTTGATGAGTAATTAACACAGAATGTGATCCTTCATATGTTTGATGTTTCTGCAAACATCCAATAGCTTTCCAGTAATCTTGATGAGAGAGGAAGTGAAGAGCCTCTTTTCTGTCTGCTCAGGTGCCAGTGGCAGGTGGAGGCCAATGGCGTGATCTCCCCTGCCCTTACTCCGAGCCCCTCTCCACTGCCTCTGACCATAGAGGAAGACAGAGAATTCACCTACCCCTCTGATGTCCTCGTGCCTCCTGTTGGAAACTACTTTGATCTGCCTCGGATCAGGCTGCCTCCAGGAATCATGATAAAGCTCAGGGAAATTTCTGGGCGTGCTAGACCTCAATTTAGACCAAGTATAAAGTATGTTGCTGTGTAGTGTTTTACTTTTCCCAGTGGAAAAAAGTTTCAACAATTGAAGTGGATGTATTTCTTCTGTGGTCTAGGAAATGAACCTTTAATTTTGTGTTTACTGCATGAATGTTAAAATTAACTGAGTCTGGAGGGCCCACCAGGTGGTATTCCAGATTAGGGGTTCTCAAAATTTGGCCCTCCAATCAGCAGCATTGGCATCACCTGGGAACTTGTTAGTTCTTGGACCCCATTTGATACCTGTTTAATCAGAAGCTCTGAGGATGGGGCCCAGTTTGACAAGTTTCCCATGTGACTGATGCATGCTAAAGTGTGACCAAGTGCTAGGTTTATGTCTAGTATGTTGACCTTCTGCTAGCAGTCAGCCTCTACTTTAGTTTCCAGAGTTTATTTAGAGACATGTGTTTATTTTTGATGCCTAGAGAAATGGTGAGGAGTTCTTTAATCTAGAATGTACAACTTACAGTTACAAATGTCTGTAGTATTCTTGCTTAAAGTCAAATCTGTTTTGCAGGCTTCTGCCCTGCCTCCTGAGGCAGGATTTCAGAGAGAAAACTTTAGAGAATGTATGAAGTTTAAAATGAAAAAAAAAAAAAAAAGAAAAAAAATAGAGAAAACACCATTGTTTTTAGCCCAACATCTATTTGGACTGAACACTGCAGGCTATATAATACTACATAAAATTAATTAGTCGATAGATGCTGCTGATCTTTTCTTAGCCTTAGCCCTCTTCCAGCTCTAATATGACTCTAACTCAAAATGTAGCAATCATAGAAAATGAAGTCTCTTTACTCTTGTTTGTTTGTTTTGAGAGGGAGTCTCGCTCTGTCACCCAGGCTGGAGTGCAGTGGCACAATCTCGGCTCACTACAACTTCTGCCTCCTGGGTTCAAGTGATTCTCCTGCCTCAGCCTCCCGAGTAACTGGGATTACAGGCGTAGACCACCACACCTGACTAATTTTTGTATTTTTAGTAGAGACAGGGTTTCTCCATGTTGGCCAGGCTGGTCTTGAACTCCTAACCTTAAGTGATTCACCCGCCTCAGTCTCCCAAAGTGCTGGGATTCCAGGCTGAAGTCCCTTTACTCTTGATTTTCAGCTTTACCAACCAAATTCACTAAATTATCTGCCAACGTAAGACTCCTACAATGCCATTATACTATTCATACCTCTTACTGTGTTGTAATAAAGGAGGTATGGTGAATATTTAATATCTTTAGATTAAAGCCTAAGTTCCCCAACCTATAAAATACAGTATTGGGCCTGGGACACGGTGGCTCATGCCTGTTATCCCAGTACTTTGGGAGGCCAAGTCAGGAGGATCACTTGAGCCCAGGAGTTCAAGGCCAGCCTGAGCAACATAGTGAGAAATTCCCCTAAAATTTTTTTTCTTAAATTAGCTAAGCATGGCAGCATGCATCTGTAGTCTCAGCTGCTCAGGAGGCTGAGGCAGGAGGATGCCTTGAGCCCAGGAGTTTGAGGCTGCATTGAGCCATGACTGCTTCACTGAATTGCAGCCTGGGTGAGAGGGAGACCCTGTCTCTTAAAAAATTAAAAATGAAAATAAAGTACAGTATTGAGAAGCTGAGAACATGGCATATACCTGACTGATTTCCATTGTGATCACAGAGAAGTGATTCAGCCAGACGTGATGGAGGAAATGGTGGTATCTTGTGTTATTAAGCACTTGAACTTAGTTGATGCACTGCAGTCTCTAATAAATTTCCAATATCAAGAAGAACATGCTGAAGAATATGATTTATTATGTAAAATTATGGGAGAGACCTTTAAGAAGCTCAATGCCATGGAGAGACAGCTGCAGGTAAATGTCTGATAACTGTTGGAAATAATTTCTTTCCTGGAAATTTAAAGAAATTTAGAATGTGATCCAAGTTTTAAAAATTACTATTGTGACTAAAATTTTGAATTTTCAAACAGATTATACTTGTTTTTATTTTGTATCTATTTTCATGTATCTATTAGAGTGTTGCAGAACTAGAACAAAAATGGCAAAGTGAAGTTGATGATGCCATACAGGGGAAACTGGAGAACAACATGCCTTTCTTTTATGATTACCATTTTAATGAGGTGAGCAAGGTGTATGATTTGTCACTGGGGCATAGTCATTTAGACAGCAAACATATATACTGTGTGTGTGTGTGTGCGTGTGTGTGTGTGTGTGTGTGTGTAGAGGTAAAATAATGTCATTTCCTAAAATGTTGCACACTCTAAAAACATACCTATTCTTTAAAAGAGGTTAAATGAAAATTGACTAGATCAACATGCAATATATAAATAATTACTCATTAAGTTTTTTTTTTTTTTTTTTTTTTTTGTGAGACGGAGTCTTGCTCTGTTACCCAAAGCAAGAGTGCAGTGGCATGATCTCCACCTCCTGGGTTCAAGCAATTCTGCCTCAGCCTCCTGAGTAGCTGGGATTACAGGCACGCACCACCACACCTGGCTAATTTTATTTTTTGTTTGTTTGTTTGTTTATTTATTTATTTATTTCTCGAGATGGAGTCTTGCTCTGTCACCCAGGCTGGAGTACAATGGTATGATCTTGGCTTACTTGTAACCTCTACCTCCTGGGTTCAAACGATTCTCCTGCCTCACCCTCCCGAGTAGCTGGGATTACAGGTGTGCACTACCACGCCCGGCTAATTTTTGTACTTTTAGTACAGATGGTGTTTCACCCTGTTGACCAGGTTGGTCTCAAACTCCCGATCTCAGGTGATCCACCCGCCTTGGCCTCCCAAAGTGCTGGGATTACAGGCATGAGCCACTGCACTCGGCCTTAAGTTGTTTTTTTTAACTGGTTAATAGTTTTATAAAGATATATTAAGAAGTTGTCATCATGGTCAAATTTTGCTTTCAAGCCTTAAAAAACAAAAAGTAGGTAAAATTATAAACCCTGAAAGAATCCCCAGAAAGTAGTCAGTGCCATTTTTAATTATTAAAATATCAAATAAGAACTTACAAATGGGTTTCAAACATAGAAATATGGACCAAAGGTGGTGGTTTTTCTCTGAAATTTTCTGTTCATTTTAATATATGTATAATACAACTTGGTTCTTACAGATCCTGCATACCAACTTTTCTTGATTTTTTTCTTCTTTAGAACAAAATGAAAGAACTAGAACTTTTGTGTTCAATGAAGGAAGTCTCCTTTGATGGAAATGATCTTGAAAACATGGTCCTATCACTCAGGTTAGTGGTATTAATGACAATTAAGGCTATTATCACCTTGATGCTCAAAACACATTCTAAAGGTCTAGTCTCTTAATAGATATATTTTTAAATATTGTGAATTTACTAAATATTTTAGAGTTGGAACTCATTTGGTAAATTGGAAGTTTGGGTTTTAGCCTTCAAAAGTTAGCACAGGCATTTGAAACAGAAAAAGGAACAAGAAGTGGCCAAAGTTTCTAACACTGTTCCCCTTGGACGAGGAAACAGGGAAGTAAGCAATGTTGATTAGGTTACTTTTGCTTAGTTTCCCCTGTGTCTTCCTTGACTCTTTGTAATTTTTTTTAATACTGTTTTTGGTAAGGTAGAGTACAACTCAATGCACATCAGTCTTTCTTTATAGGGAGAAGTTCCTACATGAAGTGAATTCTCTTATTCAGAAACCCTCACACCCACTGGCTAAAACAAAGACGTTAGTGAAGAGTTTAATGAACCGAGCTGAGCTGTTGCTACATGTCACCATCGCAGCCCAGTCAGGCCTCACGAGAAGCATCTCTGGGACTCCTGCTGAAACGCCAGGTACTGCTCAAAGATAGCCCCTAATCGACTTCTGGTCCTAGTCTGTTCATATAAGATACATTAGCTGTTTTTTGAAAAACTCACTCTTGGGTACACCTAGAAAGGAAAATAAAAGGAAATTTTAACATACTTAATTTTGCCTTGTACTTTCTGTACAAAGCAACTGAGTGACAAAAGAAAAACAAAGAAATACTTATATGTCATTAAATCCCTGTGGTCAACTTCTTGTTTTCTTTATTTTATTATTATTATTTTTTTAAAAACTGAGTCTTGCTCTGTGTCGCCCAGGCTGGAGTGCAGTAGCGCAGTCTTAGCTCACCAGAACCTCTGCCCCCCAGGTTCCAGCAATTCTCCTGCCTCAGGCTCTGTAGTAGCTGGGACTACAGGCGTGTGCCACCATTCCTGGCTAATTTTTATATTTTTAGTAGAGATGGGGTTTCACTATGTTGAACAGGTTGGTCTCAAACTCCTGACCTCTGGTGATCCACCCGCCTTGGCCCCCCAAAGTACTAGGATTACAGGTGTGAGCCATTGCACCCGGCCCTATTTTTGTTTTCATACTAATGTATATAATTAGATTTCATAGTAACATATACAATTAGTCAACACTGTGAATCTTGTAATATCATTTTTTCTTCTTTACTTGAAGCTGAGTTTGCATTTCATCTTTAGTAATTATGTGGTATGACTTGTCGTATGACTTCCTGGGAATTAACTTTTTCTAGGTCACATTTTATTTATTGTTGTGAGACGGAGTCTCGCTCTGTTGCCCAGGTTGTAGTGCAGTGGACGATCTCAGCTCACTGCAATCTCTGCCTCCTGGTTTCAAGCAATTCTCCTGCCTCAGCTTCCCAAGTAGGTGGGAATACAGGCACCCACCATCACGCCCAACTAATTTTTGTATTTTTAGTAGAGACAGGGTTTTGCCATGTTGGCCAGGCTGGTCTTGAATTCCTAACCTTAAGTGATCCACCCACCTCAGCCTCCCAAAGTGCTGGGATTACAGGCATGAGCCACCACACCTGGTCTAGGTCACATTTTAATTGTTAGCCTAAAAATGCATCTCTCAGGAAAATCATTGAGTCTTCTTACTTAAGACAGGATCTGTTGGCCGGGCGCGGTGGCTCAAGCCTGTAATCCCAGCACTTTGGGAGGCCAAGGCGGGTGGATGACGAGGTCAAGAGATCAAGACCATCCTGGTCAACATGGTGAAACCCCATCTCTACTAAAAATACAAAAAATTAGCTGGGCATGGTGGTGTGTGCCTGTAATCCCAGCTACTCAGGAGGCTGAGGCAGGAGAATTGCCTGAACCCAGGAGGCGGAGGTTGCGGTGAGCGGAGATCGCGCCATTGCACTCCAGCCTGGGTAACAAGAGCGAAACTCCGTCTCAAAAAAAAAAAAAGACAGGATCTGTTAACACGGCACAGCCCACAAGCATTCATTCTTAACTTGAGAGATAAAGTTAAATAAACATGTTCTTAATTGAAAGAGTCCATGTTACATAGCCCCATTGCCCAGTGGGTAGTAGGGAGCAGGCAAACTTGTTTTCATCCCAGCTGATCATTTAAGGCTCTTCTTACTTGGGATTTGAAGTCTAGGGGGACTCCCAGAATCTCACTGTCTAATACAGGTTCTCCCTGAGAACTTCAGGGGAAGACACAGGCTTGGGAGAGAGACATGTGCTGAGTGTGTGGTATAATCACATGCCAGGATGGTCTGCTATACACATAAGCCCTTGTTAAAGGTCGTATATATAGGCTTGACCACTCAGTAAGGCTGTCAATACTATCCCAGAGGCTCTTGACCTCAGAGATAACAGTATCCTCAAAAATTACACTTTTTTTATATTTAAGCTGTGTAACCACTCTTAAGACAGATAAAAAATGGTTTTCTCAACGGGGCACAGTGGCTCATGCCTGTAATCCCAGCACTTTGGAAGGCCAAGGCAGGAGGATCATTTAAACCAGAAGTTCAAGACGAGGCTTTGCCACATAGCAGGACCTGGTCTCATAGCAGGACCTGGTCTCCACAAAAAAAACACAAAAATCAGCCAGGCATGATGGCACGTGCCTGTAATCCCAGCTACTTGAGAGGCTGAGTTGGGAGGATTGCTTGAGTGTCGGAGTTCAAAGCTGCAGTGAGCCATGATTGTAGTACTTCACTTCAGCCTGGGCAACAGAGCAAGACCCTGTCCCTAAATAAATAAATAAATGAAAATTTTAGAATAATAAAATAAAATGGTTTTTTTTCTGTACTTTCTCAATATCTTTTTTTCTTGGTTAGTCTTGATGTATAGTTTTATCTTCTTCCATTTAATGATTGTTTTATAAAACAGCTATTTCTCTGGACAGGGTTAAGGAGTGTATCTTATAGAAAGACCATTCAGATTCCAACTCAAATGTGATATTTATTTCCACCAGCTATGATCAAAGCAGAGGTATCATCAAATGACAATAAGTCAGCTAAATAAATCTGGGGATAAAGCGGTGAAAAAGTCCATCTCTGAACAAAATGGATTTGGATTTATTTGAATTAAGAAATTTGGGCCAGGTGTGATGGCTCACGCCTGTAATTCCAGCACTTTGGGAGGCCAGGGTGGGCAGATTACTTGAAGTCAGGAGTTTGAGACCAGCCTGGCCAACATGGTAAAACCCTGTCTCTACTAAAAAAATGCAAAAATTAGCTGGGTGTGGTGGCTCACACCTGTAATTGCAGCTACTCAGGAGGCTGAAGCAAGAGAATCACTTGAACCTGGCAGACGAAGATTATAGTGAACTGAGATCACACCACTGCACTCCAGCCTGCGAGACAGAGTGAGACCCATCTTTAAAAAATAAGAAATTTAAAAATTAAGAAAAATTTGTGTTTTCTGGAGATTATTTTCTGTGTCCTCCCTTGCTTTTTAGAATGCTTACATTAAAGTGAACATTGATAGCTATGAAATTAAATGAATTTTTCAGCTTTTCTACAGAAAACCAATTTAATAAAAAATTTTAATTTTTTAAGTTAAAATAATTTTTAACCTAATATTTAGGTTTAAAAATTGACAGTATGCTACGCTAACTAGATTGGTGGCTGAACTCTGATAGAAAGTAAAGATGCCAGGCGCGGTGGCTCACGCTTGTAATCCCAGCACTTTGGGAGGCCGAGGCAGGTGGATCATGAGGTCAAGAGATCAAGACCATCCTGGTCAACATGGTGAAACCCCGTCTCTACTAAAAACACAAAAATTAGCCGGGCATGGTGGTGCACACCTGTAATCCCAGCTACTCAGGAGGCTGAGGCAGGAAATTGCTTGAACCCAGGAGCCAGAGGTTGCGGTGAGCAGAGATCGCACCACTGCACTCCAGCCTGGGTAGCAAGAGCGAAACTCTGTCTCCAAAAAAAAAAAAGGAAAGCAAAGATACACTTAGATGGTTTGGTAGTTCTGTGTTGCATTTGGCTGTTGTTGTACAGATACCAGAAATGTCAGCCTTTTTATTCCTTTTTTTTTCAGCTTGTAAATCAGCTTCTGAAACAAAAGTGATATCTCACGCTGTCAGGCAGCCTGTTTTTCTTCGCAGCATGTCAGCTCCTTCTGACCTGGAAATGATTGGTAATGAAGATTTGGAATTTACTAGAGCAAATCAGAGGTAAATGGCTAATGGCCAGGGTTGGGTTCCCACATGTAGCTGAATGCATTCATCAAAACAAGCTCTGTAAGTGTGTTTCTTGTCTTGCCAGTCTGTTCTATGTTCCCTGTAGGCGTCGCCACGTGACTAGCCACCGCAGCAGCTCCTTTACACTCCTGCAGTCACTAGCCATCGAGGACAGCAGGGACAAGCCCACCTACAGCGTCCTTCTAGGGCAGCTATTTGCCTTCATCGGCACCAACCCTGACCAAGCTGTACGTCACGTTTTGTGTGCTCTAGATGAATAGCACCTAACAGTATGTGGGGGCTTGCAGCAGTTAGCAGGAGTCAGGTGTCCCTCCTTCTTGTGCATTTCAGGTGTCCAGCAGCAGTTTTCTTTTGGCTGCACAGACAAGGTGGCGCCGGGGAAACACTCGCAAGCAGGCACTGGTGCACATGCGGGAATTGCTGACGGCTGCCGTGAGAGTCGGGGGAGTGACGCATCTTGTGGGTCCGGTGACGATGGTCCTTCAGGGAGGACCCAGGTTAGTTGTTTCTCTTAGTTTATACTGTCCTGTCTAGAATGGTCAGAGCCATTCCAAAGATTATTCCTGGGGTCCAATCATAGGTGGTAGTATTTGCTAATGTTTTCTTCTAAAATATTTATATAAAATTGGCATACAATCTTGCAAAAAAACTCAACATATTAATAGAATGTAAAACTCTCGGTATTCACCTTCTCCTCCTAAATCCCTCTCTGTTCATTAAGAGCTCGTTATAGCAACCATACAGGCATAAGCAGCTGTATAATTCTCTTTGTACACATAAATGTGTATGTGTGTAAATTTTTTCAACTCAATTCAGATTATATTATACATGCCTTTCTACGACAATGACTGTTTTGCTGAGTATGTCTTAGATATCTTAGATATCTGTGTTTTTATGTCAATACATATAGATGTGGTCTGCTTTATCTTTTTTTTTTTTTTTTTTT